TTTTTTTTTTTTTTTTTTAGAAAGCTCTGTCTCTTCTTTCCTATAACTTTTTTTCCTAAAGTTACTATTTTTAACTTAAAAGCATCAAAATAACTTTTTAGAGGTTGTTGCACGACCTTTACTTGTTCCGAATTCTACTTGCATTCTTATCACAGTTTAAATTGAATTTCAAACGATTTCATTATTAAATTAATTTTTTTATTGAATAGATTAAGTTTATATTTTTTTACAAAATATAAAAATTATTTAAAACTTTATTACATAAATTTAAATTAACATGTATATTCATAAAATTATATTATGAGCTGATTTAAATTTTAACGATATTCAATCGTTGATAACAGACACTTAAAGAATATAATGTAAAATAATAAAGTAAAAAATATAATTAGTGAAATTGTTAAAATAAATAATGTAATGTAAAATATCTTTAAAAAATAATAAATAAAATAAAATAAACGTATGATGTATTATTATCAATATGTTGAGGAAATAGAAAAATAAATGTAAATAATTTAAAGGATAAAATAAATAATATATCCAAAAGATAATAACAACAATAAAATAAAATAAGCATATTAAGTCTATCAATATCAATATTTTTTATTATAATATTAAAATAATAAAATAAATTATGTAATAGTATAATGGTTAAAATAAAAATAAAAAAATCAATAAAATTCGACCTTCTTGAGCTAAAAACTGATTGTGGACGGGTTTAGCCTAACCCGCGATCACGAAGCCCAACCTATTTTTGCCATCTATGCTTGTGAGATACTCTGATTATTGATTATGATGGACTGATTTAAAAAAGTAATGGGTGTTCGCCCAAAGTGACTATACTCAATTAGGTCTTTGTTTTAGGAACATGCACTTTAAGGCCCAAAAGCCTTACTGAATTTCCACAAAAGGACATAATCAAAGCACAGAAATTCCAATCCGGTGAAAACCATAGACCATAGTGTGGCACCTCCAAGTTCCATCACAAACTCCAATAACCCATTTCCTCATCAATATGGCTTTGCCTCCACCCTTTTGGGTGTTGTTTCCGCTGAATTTATATATAAATAAAAATAATTAATGTACTCTCTCTATATTTATCTATAAATAAAAATAATTAATTTTATATAAATTGAGTAAGTTCATTAAATATATTTAGTTTCATATAAAATATATACTACATTATTTAAAATATGTTTAACTACATTCATGATAATAATACTTTTATTTATTATCATTAAAATATTTTTAGATTAAAAATTGTACTGGGAAGATCCTATTAGCCACGTGATATGGCACGTGATATCCTCTCGGCCACCGAGACGGTCGAGACAAAGGCTATTGTTAATGCACTGGTCTCGGTCATCTCGATCGCCGAGATAACCAGAATACAAGGACTTTCACAGCTGGTTCGCCACGACTCACGGACACGTCAGCGGCTGTGATGATCGACCTACAAGGCTCCTTGTACCCAAGACATCGAAGACTTGGCTATGTCAGCATAACTAGTTGGCCTGATGACGTCTCGGCTCGGTAGAAGGACAACTTCAGTCTTACACCCCTCGGCTCGGCCAACAGCCGGGACGACTAAACACAAAGATTAAGACGACAATCATGATTAACAAGAACAAACACGTGATTAAGGCATAATCAGCCAATTAACACCGTAGTACCTAATTTGGTAAATGTCAGAAGAGACCCACCACGCTCAAGGCCCATTATAACTAGTATAAATTAGTCACATAAAACGAAGTATGTTACTGTTCATTTATTACCATCGAGATTCGTGTTTGTTCTGACTTGACGTCGAAGTCCCTTTTGCAGGTACCCTCCCCCTTCGAAGCATCTGTCCGAAACTCTCGTTCGACCCTCAGACTACTAGAAGATTACGAGTGTGCCCTTAAATAAGTAAAAAAATATTCAATAAGGTTGACTTGATTTAAATTTATTTATATTTTGGTTAAATTTTAAACACTTTTATATATAAATTCAAAGAAAGTACCCTTTGATTATTAATAAGAGTTTATGTCCCTCAATAAAAAAAAATTAAAAAAAAACGACGAGGACGAGGACGAAAAGCACCACACAAGTTGAATTCACAGGCTCAGATTAATTAACTTTGAAATCACATACATAAGAATGAGTTGTGGCGAGTTACTCGTCTAATTTTATAGTTGACACACTTCATTAATCCCTCGTGCTGTTGTTGTACCAAATGCATAACTAATGACCATAATTGGCCAATTAATCATGCCATCAAATGTCCATTGCAGCTTGGATTATTAACTATCCAGGCTGGCCTTAAAATACATTCTTTTGTGCTAATTCTTAATAATGGTTACACCTTTCCAGGAACTACAACAAGGAAATGAAAAATACAAAGGTGGTGGTTAGAGGGATGGACTTTGCTTGGCTCATTATGGCTGTTGTGTGGTTGGAAAGTCTTCTTCCTCCTAACTGCTTGATTCCTTATGTTAAGTACTTTACTAAATACTACTCCAAAGTGATAGCTTACCAAACCAGCAACTTCCTAATTTTACATAACTATTCTCAATACACTTACCGCTACTCCTTTATTATAAAATAATCTACAACAAGAAAATGATTGGACATCTACATATAGTTATCAAGTTACATCCAGCCTACTATATATTCTTTTTGAATTGAAAAATGTGTATGTCCATAAAGGATAATGATATATATTTGCTAAATTAATTGGACACGAGACATTAATCATTAATGATGGGGTCCATGCAATGCATTATATAAAGAATGAAGGTAGATGGCAACTCTTTAAATTAGCAAACATCTTCAAACTTTCTGTGAGTTAAGAAAGCAGAGGAGGGGAACTAAGAGAATCAAGCATGGATTGCTGTGTGTGTACAACTATGCCAATGATTTTGAGGCCTCCAAGGAACACAATATGTGGGGCTTGTTACGAAGGAGTAAGGAGCATAATCAACATGATGAACAATGTTGATAGTGAGAAAGTAAAAGCAATTGCTAATAATCCAAACAGTTCCCCACTTTCACGGCGAAATTCGAGTAAGGCAAGCTCTAATTCATTTCATGATTTAAATTGTTGATTATAGAAACATTTCTAATTTTGTATCTAATCAAATTCTACGTCTTTTTTCTCTTTGACTTATTTAAATATTCATCAATTGTGTAATAACGATGAGATTATATTTTTCTCCGCAGACACTAGATGATTGTATAAGATGGTGTTCAGAGCAGATAGAGCAATTTAATCAACAAAAAGAAGACCTGGTTTTCCTAAGAAGCTTTGTTGCTGCCTTCAAATCACAGATTCACACGGATATATTGGTCAGTCCAGGCAAACACGGTCCACCTATACCAGCACATAAATCCGTTTTGGTAAGTTCTTGTTTTGCCAACAAACTATTACCAACATAAGGAAAAAGACTCATTATTTTGTAAATTTCAATTTAATAGTTTAACATTCTTAAAAGTTATAAATTATAATCATTCAAATAATTTGTTGGCTGCTAAATAATGAAACTTTTAAGGACAGATTTTTTTATTATAAAATTTAGACACAGTATGATAAATGTTGTTTTTTAATCAGAATTAGAGTTGTATCAAAATAATAAGAGTGAAAGTGTCAAAAAAATGGCCTGATTGAACAAGTTAGACCGATTTCCTGTTAGACCAAACTAAATTTGAAAAAAGAAGTCTAAAAAATAATTTGACCAATAATTTTTAAGTTGGAACTCTGCTAGACTTATTTAATTTAATATATATTTTTAATTTTTCTTTATAAAATTTAAATAAAACTAATGAAATAAAATAAAATAGATCGATGACAAGTTAAGTCAAATCACAAAATAAGTGACATGCCATCAGTCTAACACATTTATAAATAATCATCCTATGTTACTCGGGTTAATAATTGACCCAATTGATATTTATTGAAATGTTTCAATACATATATTAAGAAATAAAACATCAATTTTAATTAGAGAAGAATGGTATGAACACTTTCCTTAGATTTTATCCTTATATATACAAAAATGTGTTATTTTAAGATAAAAGTTAGGTGTATGATTGTAATAAATGAGGTAAGAAAGGAAGATGTTACTATGTTACAGGCAGCAAGGTCAGAAATATTGAAGAACATGTTAGAGTGCGATGAATGCAAGGCTGCACCAAAGAGCAGCATAAGCATACCCGATTTGAACCACGAAGAGCTAGAGTCTCTGCTGGAGTTTCTGTACAGTGGGACCTTGGGTGTGGAAAAACTAGAGAAGCACGTTTACGCGTTGTCGCAAGCAGGTGATAAGTATGTAATCCCACATTTGCTGAAACACTGCGAACGATACCTGCTGAGTTCGCTAAATACCACTAATGCCCTTGAGACACTGGAGATTGCAGATACTTGTTCCAACCAAAATTTGAAAGAGACAACGTTGAATTTCTTGGTTAAAAACATTGAGCACATGGTGTCTTCTCCTAAGTTTGAAGCTTTTGTGCATAGGAGTCCTCATCTTACTGTGCAACTCGTTACGAGGGCCTTCGTCAATGGTGCCAAATAAATCACTTTCTCTCCAACTTCCACGCTCCCTAATATTTAAATAATTGTAATTCTAAAAATAACACAAAATACTTTAATTCCTCTAGTTAATAAGATTCTTTTTTAATGTGTTTGTATCATGGGTGACAAATAGATGGATCTAATCATTTTTAAGGTCAATCACAATATATCGAGTATAAATAATTTATTAATCTATTTAAATATATTAAAAATTTATATAAAAATTCAATTCATCCAATTTATTTAAAGAAATAAATTCATCTTAATCATCCATTAAAAAAAATTTATAGATAAATATTTTATCCATTCATAAAAATAATATTTTAAAAATTAAATAATTTTTATTTAAAAATATTTTATTTCTCTATTTTTTTTCATAAGTCATTACATTCTTATGTACACTCCTTTAAAATTCTCATAAATATATATATATATATATATATATATATATATATATATATATATTAATATAGTTTTTAAA